CCCGGCCGGCCCTGAGCTGAGCCCTGGTGAGGCTCACGGGCACAAATGTGGAGAAAACGGGGAAATCCCGGGGAGAGGCGGGGAGCGGAAGGCTGGGAAAGGGCGCTGGGGCAGCGCCCTCAGGGCGGGCGTGAGGGCGGCCATCGCCTCACGGCGGAGCCGCTGCTCGCCCGGCCCGGCCGGGCTCGTCTGTGAAATCGAGTGACACAAATTTAGCGGACTCTGTTTAATTAGTTTGCATAGTTATTTATATTTATTTTATAATTCTCTGGGATTACGTGTTGTATTACAAGAAATACGGTTTCCTTCTCTGGACAGAAGGAGCCCTTACAGATAGAGATGCCACATTCCAAGGAATTAATGTATAGAAGAATTCTGGAGAACCGAGTATCAGTTTGTCACTGAAATGTGGCCTCTAAAGAGGTTTCTGGGGAAAATAAACCCTTTTTTGATTTCAGTGGTTATGATTTTGAGGACGAGAAAGCCGTGGGTTCTCATCCAAGGGAGGGTAAAATGCTGGAGGGACAGGACCCAGGGAATGTCTCCCAGTGCCAGAGGGCAGGGATGGATGGGATACTGGGAATTGGGAATTCCTGGCTGGGCTGGAATTCCCAGAGCAGCTGTGGCTGCCCCTGGATCCCTGGAAGTGCCCAAGGCCAGGCTGGATGAGGTTTGAAGCAGCCTGGGATGGTGGGAGGTGTCCCTGCCATGGCAGGGGGTGGAACGGGATCTTTAAATCCCTTCCAATCCAAACCATTCAATAATTCCACATAGATAACTAAAGGAAAGAATCCATATCCTAGACTAAGAAGAAAAATGAAGTACATTACTTTGAGGTTTCCTGTCCAACTAAGCTGATGGATCTTTTAGTGTTCACCTCGAAATTGCAAACAGACTTGTACTCATTGGCCGAAGGATTTTGTACGGGTTGCAGTCGAATAGCGCTGACTGTTCAATAAATTAATCCTCAAAAATTCAAAATATGCCAAATAGCTGGGGAAAGTGTAAACGCTGACTTTGTCACTTAGCAGATGTGGACTCCACTTCTGGAGAAAGAGCAGATGAAGCTGGATAACAACGAAGCTCTGTGGTGAAATTGGTTGGGCTCTGTGAGCACGCTCGAGGAGTGCTGTGCTGGAGCAGCCAGGTTAAGGGTTTCAGAATTTTTGTTTTCACTGGCTCCAAAAGGGAATCTTGGATTGCCCCCTGCTTGGATAGTGATCACCTCATGCCACTGAATTCACTGGGAGTTTTACCCACAGCGTGATTGTTATGGCGGCTTCGGAAGTCCTTATCTGTTTTTCTAGATAAGTGGGTGAAACTCTGACCCTGTGTTTGAGGGTTTATTATTGTTTTTATTATTATTTTCTGCCTTGACAATGGCTAACAATGTTTACTATTGCTTTATAAACACAAAGTCGGTTACTAATGAGTAAAAGGGAGAGGTTTGCTGGAGTAGCCAGGGAGGAGGAGGTGGTTCTGTTATGACCTAAGTCCCACAGATTTTCAGATTCAAATGTCAGAGTGGTGGGCTGCTCTCCAGTGACCGTGGTCATGTTGGGATCTGAAGGAGCTTTATTTCCCTGAGCTCCAGGGAACAAGCAACGTCAGTCTGGTTACACGGCCAGCTTTGGGATTTGAGCTGAACAATGTGTTTGTGCTTGTTTGGTAGAGGGAATTTATTGGAGATGCTGACCTGGGCCAAGTTCCTTAAGTGAAATGGGGTTGACTTGGAGTTGATGTCTTAGTGGATTTCTGGGTGTTGTGGATTTATGGTGTTAGCCACATGTGAAGCAGAGTAAAGGGAAAAGCGCGGATTTCGTAACTCTGAGGAGTTGAGCTAAAGAGGAAAATTGAGGATTAAAATGTAGCATGGATTACAAGAAGCTTTACGACTCTCTGAGCTGCCTGCATTAATTCCAGACTTGCTCTTCAGGAGCCTGAAAAACTCTGGACGAGCTCAGGAAGCTGAACTGGAAACTTGAAAAGAAAATCATGATTAGGACTCATCTACAGCAAGAAATATTGTGATTAAGCTGGAGGAAGTTTCACAGCCATAAGGTACATTTTGTTGGTAAACAAAACCGTTTGACCATAGCTCAGTTAAGAATCTTGTGGCATTACCTTCAGAGGGAGAAAATTTTGGTTTCTTTTAAAATTATATCAGATTCAAAGAGGGAAGTGAGTGGAAATTAGATGTCTGGGAATTAGTGGTGTCTTCCCTGCTCATCTCCAGGATTTCCAGAGTGTGGAAAATGGGCCGTGTTTTTGTAGTTTATTAGTATCTGGGAAAAAGGAAATCAATTTCCAGGTTCTTCTTTAAGGACCTGTGTGTTATCACACAAGCAGGACACAATCATGGTCACAACCACCTCCCATCCTCAGGAATTAAATTACTAAATTACTGAGAAAAAAACCCCTACAGACCTCAGGCAAAAAAAGAAATCTTTCCGTCCTTGGTGCCATGCCACTGTTGAGGAGTGGATTGGGATCTTACATTTATTGTGTTCTCAGCATTTGTAGGTGATAACTTGGCCTTCAAAAAGCAGCATTAAAATCCATCTGGGTAAGAGGTCTGGATCTCACTGCTGAGGCACCTAAATCTGGAGTTATCAGATGTCAACTAGACTCCAAGAACACGTGCATCCCTCAAGAAGTTTCCTATCCTTCAATTCCCTCTTTCTCCTGAGTATTCATGCAGTCCAGTCTGGGAAATGAACCCAGAACAAAGCTGGCTTTATCTGGCTCGTTTCTCCACCCCAGCTCATCCTGGGCCATCCCAGGGGGGTGATGTGCGGCAGGGTCAGCTCAGGGAGGGTGAAGGATAACTTAGCTCAGGGTGACGGGGCTTCAGTCTCCTCTGATGAGGGACAGGGGATCCCAGCACAGGTTCCACCTTGTGTTTCAAGGGGCCAGTGTTGTAGGCAGCACAAATGCTTTTTTCAACTCTTTTTTTTCCCAGCAAGGCAAAGGAGGAAAATAGACCTGACAAGGAGCAGCCAACACCCTGAGTTTAGGTGTCACATACCTGCCTCACATAAATGTACAATTTCCCTCCCAACACAGGCAGAAGGATGAAATGAACACTCAATACCAATCTCCATCCTTCCCAGGAAGGATTCTGAAACGTGTCCCGCAGGAGTTGGGCATGTTCCAGCTTCCCTGGGCTGTGTTTCCTGGGAAGCAGCGCCGTGAGGCAATGCCCTGGGTAGGAATTCATCCCAGCATGGCTGCTGAAAGCAAACAGTGCAGAAGGAATCATCTGAGATGCACGTTTTCAGGCCTGAATCCCATTCTTTGGAAAATCTCTGCATGGTAATGAAATAACAAAACTAAACTCATTGCAAATGGCACTCTTGGTGTTGCAGGGAGGATGAGTGGTTTGTTGAGGCAGAATAAATTACAAGTGCAGCCCATTTTGTGCTGAGAAGATGTAAATGAGAGGGCAGGGAAAGCAGGAGAGCAGGTGTGCAGATGTGCCTGACAAAAGTATTTTTCTGTGGGACACAGGGAATGACTTGACACTACCAGGGGGCAGGGATGGATGGGATTTTGGGAAGGAATTCCTGGCTGGGAAGGTGGGGACAGGGTGTCCAGAGAAGCTGTGGCTGTCCCTGGATCCCTGGAAGTGTCCAAGGCCAGGCTGGACAGGGCTTGGAGCGCCCTGGGATGGTGGAAATGTCCCTGCCCATGGTCCTTAATGTCCCTGCCCAACACAAACCACTCTGGAATTCCATGATCCCATTAAAAAAAACAAACACCTTTCCTGTTTCTTTCCAAACTTTGTAGTCAGCAGGATTTCTGAAAGAATATAACTTTGATTGTAAACTACCAATATAATCTTTCTGGTAATATTTAAGTAATTAAAAAATAATATCTAAAATAAATTTTGGCAATATTTAAATACATGCCTCAGTCTCTAGAAATTATTTTTGAGAGCAATTGTGACGTTTCTCCCCCTTTATTTTTTTATTCCCCAAATTATTTTACACAACCCATTCTTCTTGAAAGAAGCACTGAGTGTCAAGCAGAGAGAAAGTCTTATATAGAAAGCCATGGTACAGCTGAGATGAATTAAAAGTGAATATGTGCAAGTCAAAACATGGGAATTGTTTATGTAGATATTTCTAGGAAGAAGATCCCAGTGTTCTAGAGCCTTGGCCTTGACGCATTCCCAGAAAAACTCATGAGTGGTGAGGAAAGGTCATTTCTGAGAAGCTGTTAATGAGCACTGAGTGTGCTGGGCTTGGTTCATGAGCACTCCTGGTTTGGCTCATCCCAAATCTGGGATCTCGTCTGACATTCCAGACCTCATCTCCCACTTTCCCGGCCCTGACTGGGAGCAGTGGCAGTGAGAGCCGATGGGAAGCTCCCGTCTTCAGGGAATGTCCTGAGCTTCTCCTTCCAGCCTGAGCCAGGGGTTTGGCAGAGGGGAGATGGGAATGCCCAGCACTGCCTGGAGAGGATTCCCCATCCTTTGTTTCATTCCCAGGTTGTGCTGGGAGGCCCAGGGGAAGCCAAGGATTGATGGAGGAGTGATTCCTTTGCTCCTGTGGGAATCCCACTTCCTTCTTCATGGAGACACCTCTGCAGACAGGCCCTGCAGGGGAATACAGGAGATTTCCCTTTGCATTTTTCCTTTATTATTCCTTTCCATTTCTCTTTTTCCTTTTCCTTTTTCTCTTCATTTTTATTTTTCCTTTACCTTTCCCTTTTCCCCTTTTTATTTTCCTTTCCCTTTTTCCTTCCCCTTTTCCTTTCCCTTTTTCCCTTCTCCTTTCCGTTTCCCTTCTTCCCTTTCCCTTTTAATTTTTTTTCCATTTTTTCCAAAATAACCCAGGCTTTAATTGTTTTGGATGTACTTATATTTCAATTTCTGCCTTCACTCTTGTACATAAAGCACCAACAACTCTCAGCCCAGCTCATTTCCAAGTGTTACCAACTCCTAAAATCGGTTTCATTTTTACAGGATTTCTTTAAACTCTGTTTTTTATGACACTGATTCTGGCTGAAGATATTTTCCTGTGTCCAGCTCTAAAAGAAGTGTCTCCTAATCCTGAATTTTCTGGTTTAGATCTGACAAGTCTCACGGTAATTCAACATTAAATATCTACTCTGATATTATTCACAGCCTTAAAATTCACTGAATGAATTTGTGGTTCTATTATTTCACCAGACAAAACTGAGTAAGTTTTTTTTTAAAAAGTTGGGTAAAAAGCAGTTATGGAAAGAAAGAAAATATATTGAAATATATTGAATTCCTCAGGAATTACCTTTCCCAGGATGAGTGTGCTGGCAGGAGGAGTCCTGCATCAAAGCCTCGGATATTCCACAGACAGTAAATCTTGGTAAATTTGTATCACCAACTTTTGGGGAAAAAAATGATTCATTCCACTTTCATCACCCTGCTCTAAATTTGGGATATTGATTTATTTAATGGGATGCAGCTGCTGCTATTCAGGGAGGAGAGAGAACAGAATTTCTGGGGTGACACTGCCAGCTTGAGAGCTTTGCAAATCTGCTCGAGTTGGGCTGGGATTCCTGGAAAAGACCTGGATCTGGTCTGCAAACCACTGGATATCAAACTCCACACTTGTTCCACCAGGATGGCAACATGAACATGAAAAAAAATAGGAAAAAATGTAGGAAAACTGTAATAAAACAGAAGGAAACAGAAATTAACCTAATTTTCATTAGGGTAGTCCATTGTGGCAATGATATCAAGGAAAGCTTTGCTTATCAGTTTTTCTAAGGCTGAATTTGAATATTTTGAAGCCATGGAATCATAGAAAAACTTGAGTTGTAAGGGACCTTAAAGCTCCTCTTGTTCCAAGATACTGAATTCAGGCTGAAGTTCCGTCCTGCTCCTGGCCCAGATGCAAACCCCAGTTTGTCACTTGAAATCAGCCACATTGGGTTTGTGGCAGTGCAAAGTTGGCCTAAAATTGTAAATTCATGGATATCCATCTTTAAATGCAGTAATTCATACCCACAGGGCACTTTGGTGGTGCTGTTTAAAAACTCCTCATATTGAGAAAAAGAATATTTTTCACTTATTTTGTGAGAGCTGCAAGAATTCTTGTTTTACCTTTTCAGCTTCAAGTGGTAAGAACTATAATTTTCCATTTATTAGCCCACTGATATTTCTTTCCACACTGCCTGGAGTGGTGTTTAATAATATTTACTCTTGGGCAAGATAATTATCAGGGGAATATTAATCGATTCTATTGTAAACAACAGGGAATTTGTGTTTTCCATTCACAAGCTGCCGAAGTCTCAGAATGAGTGGGAATGTTTAAGAGCAATTATCTGGGTTATTTTGATCCATTTTTGACACTTTGGATGTGGTGTTGATTTAAAAGAACTCGATGTATTTGTACAAGGGAATTAATCTGGGTGAAGGGGATTGGTTTGCCTTTGGAATTGGTGTTTAGGAGTGAAGTGTTCTAATGGCTCTCAGGCTGGTGGATTAAGAGAAGTACAGGCAGAGCATGAAAAGTAAAGACAAATTAATATTATAAAAATAAAATGTGATCAGTCACAACCTGCCAAGTGTGTGAACAAAGCAAAGGGGAATTTTAATAAATGTGTGAAGAGGAGGTTGAGGCCACAGTAGTGTAAAAATGAATTTAATGGAGTGATGTTACCATGGGATAGGTATTTTATTTCATAATTCCATTTTATTTCATAATCAGAAAGAAAAGAGAGAAAATAGATTTTTAAAAAGAAGTAAAGGAAGGAGAATTGAAACTCCATAAAAAACCTACACCCACCAGGATAATCTGGGAAGGAGACAATGGCTCATGGGCACAGGAAATAAAGACACATCTGAACCACAGGATGGTTGGAGGAGGAAAGTGTGAGTTTTAAAGCAAATCATTTATTCAGTATTTACAGCAGGCTGAAAAGCTGGGATTGCCTCCTTTGGAAGCCCAGACCTCCAGCAGCTCATTCCTAAGGGAAGAGGCTGATTTGGACCACCTAGAGGAGAAATTCCAAGCATTACTTCAGAAGAAGATGAAATAATCCATACTGGGAACTGTGCCCACTCACACAAGGAAATCCACAGCCCAGCCCTGCACAGAAGTTAGGAAATGGGAGACAGAGATCTCACACATCACACTAAAATAAATAAATTAAGAGTACCAGAAGAAAAGCTGATAAAATCTTGAGTCATTAGGAAAAGACAGAAAGTTCATTTCCTCAGCAGCTGGAGCAGACAGCAGGAGGGAGGAGAGAAAATCCAGGGGCAGGGGGTAGGAAATGAGTGTTGCAGACATGAGGGGACATTTTAGGCAATACTGGTGAGACTAATCCCAGTGTGATATCCCCAAATCCATCTCGCTGGGATTCAGGGGGAATTTAGCCTCAAACTGCAGACACATCAATGTGTGAGCTCGGTTTTATGGAGCTGGAGGTTCTGCCCTTGAGCTGACCTTGGACAAGGACAGGTTCCACCAGCACCTCCAGATCAGTCTCCAGGGTGACAAGATAATATCTGTAATATCGGAATCACTGGATTCAACTACAAACTTTGGAATACAAAATGAGGAGTGAAGGGTGATGGCCTTGCTGGGAGACCAGGACATGGCACAGGGAGGGGTTTGTCCGAAACTGTGAATATTCCTTTTAAATAAGAGTTGCAGACATGAAGGGATATCTTCAGCAATGCCTGCTGAGACTAATCCCAGTGTATTCTCACCAAATCCATCTCGCTGGGATTCAGGAGGAATTTATCCTGACACTGCAGAGCAGATGAATTTGGTGCTTGGTTTTCATGAAGCCAGAGCTTGCCTGACCAAAGACAGATTCCACCAGCACCATATCAGTGTCCAGGGTGATAAGGTCATATCTCGATTATCTCTGTGGAGAATCCCTGCATCCAACTACACCCCTTGGAACACCACCCAAAACAAGGAGTGAAGGAATCTGGTGATGATCTCCTGGAGCACCAGCCCAGGACACGGCACAGGGAGCGGTTTGTCCTAATAATCATCGTTTTCCAGACCTAGGTGACTGGAATTGTCACCTGGATTGTCCAGCTGGGATTGGTGGTGTGGGTGGACACCTTGTCCCATGGGGAGCACAGGAAGAGGACAGCAGGTTTTAGCCTGGCTTTTGTGGAAGGAGCTGCTGGCAGGGCTGGAATTCTGCGTCCCAAGGCGTTGGAAGGCGTTAGGCTCAAGGAATCCCAAGGAAAAAGTGGAAGAGAGAGCCTGAACAGGCAGCTCCTGGAGATTCAGGGATTTTCCCTTTTCCCTGCACGGCTATCCAATGCTATCCTGGGGCTAATAAATTCCTTTTTTAATCCACCTACCAGGACTATCAATCATAAACAGCACATCAAGAACATGGAGAAGGATGATGACTAGAAAGACCAATTTTTCCAATGGATCTCTCTAAATTTTCTCAGTTATCATTCCCAAAAATGTCATTTTCTCAATTTCTCATTCCCAAACTCATGGCAATATTTTGCTTCTCAAAACTCCCAACCTGCCTATGCCCAGCTTAGGGGATGAGAGGAATTGTTTTTATTCCTTTCTCAGAAGTAATTATTCCTTGCAGTTGATTTATACCTTTGGAGGGCATAAAAAAATTATCTCTATTATTTCACACACTGGGGGATTTCTTAGAATTCCCCATTTTTAAAGCTTGGGAGATTACAGAAATATTTATTCCCCCAAACTGCTTGAACAGAGAGTCTTTTTCCCAAAAAGTCTCCACGAGCTTGAATGGTCACCAGTGATTCAACTCCAACCTTCCTTTCACCACTGTGAAAACAATTAATATAAAATGCTTTAAAAATTCCTGTAAGGTAAATCCCAGATGTTTCACGTACCTCTGCCAGGCAGTAATATTTTTATTTTTATATATATATAAACATAATATATGTTATATAAATACATATTACATTAGGCCTGCCAAGTTCCCTTGGATGCTTTCATTTTGGATGCATTTTCCTGCTTAAGGCATCTTCTTGTCAAAGTCATTTTAAGTGAAAGAAGTGTTTTAAAAACCTGACTTATTTCTAAAGGACATTTCTCCAGCAGCAAATAAATATCTATAATACTATATTTTTATAAATAGATGATGTGTAAAGAAATGAATGGTGTATAATACATACTATGAGAGGACATAATTTTAAAATCTCTGATTATTTGGTGTCTATTTAATACACAAAGAACAAATCTCACATGTTCTACCTGTGCTCTTAAATTCTGCACATCTGACCCTTTGCATACATTAATTTTGCACTTGAACATTCATATTTTCATAACCCCCCCCCCAAATTGTTGTAGTTGGCTTTGTCCTGGCTGAAGCTGCAAGTTGTTTTTAATTTGCAAAGTTTCTTGGCAATCCTTGGAGCCTGTTTGTCTTGGCATCCCCCTACCCCATTACCTATTCCTCAGTACCACAGGCTGAAAACTCTGTTTACAACATTTTGTGCTTTTTGACTGGATTTCCACAGTTTTAAAACATGGAAGGACATCCCTGAGACACTTGTTAATTTTATATCTATTTTATATCTATGTAATATACACATTTCAAATGTTGATGGGTTCAACTCTTATTCTTGAGAGCAGCTGTCACTATAGGACTTCAGATATCTGCCCTTGGCAAACATTCAGGTTTTTTATGAGTGAATCCATTCTTCTCTGCTCACATCTGCTCTTAATAATCCCAAATGTTTGGGGTTTGTTCGGCTTTCACATGAAGGTTTTTGTTTGCTTTCCCTAAACCAAAGCGCCGCTACGCACAATGCTCGATTCTTGTCTCTCGTTGACGTCGCTGATAAAAACGGGAATCAAGGAGAATCCGACTACAAGACAAAGGAGAGAAGGTTTAAAAATATTTAGTTCCAAGAGAAAAAAATCTTCCCTGAAAGATTAAGTTAACCCCGGGACAATAAATGGTAACATCGTTGGCCAAGAAGTTCTCACGTTATCAAATTCTTCTAAAATTGCATCATCTGAAGCCTATAAGGAACAGAAAAAGTTGGGAAATGTCATTAAAATTTCTCCTGTCTATCCTTAAGTACAACAAATGTGTGAAAAATTTAGAAATCTAAACAACAAGATATCCATAAATATCCATACAACAAGACTTTTCCAACAAGAAATCCATAAAAAGTGATTTTTCTCGTTTGTCTAAACCGTAAGTGTAAATATTTCACCAATTCTTTCCCCAAAACCACCATTTCTGCATCACTTTTAGCTTTCACTGGAGCACAAGGCATCCAAGCTAATTACAAGGTGTTCTGATGAAGGAAGGTTTGAGTATCCAGCAGGAATGACTCATATAATGATAATTATTTCTGCCATTTGGTTGGGATCTGAGGGTTCCTAAACTCTCCATGGAGGTCCTGGGACCACCCTTCAACTTGTACCTTGTACCTCAGTCTATGGAAAAAAAGTCTAAAATAAAATCAGATTGGTTTAAAATGGGATAAAGATAAGATCGGTGGAAACGGCCTCTTTTTAAAGAACATCAAGTCCAAATTCCTCCTCAAATATCCAGAATAAATCAGGTGTTCTTCTTGTTTGGCTGTTCTAAAACTTAACTTCTAGTTTGGAATTATCTTTGGCTTTTCAGCCTAAATTTAACTCAGGATGGGGATGATTTTATTGTCAGGCTTTTTCCTCTCTTTATGTTAAATAGCTCCTCCTCCATTCCTAGGTTCCCCCCAGTGTAAATTCAAAAAGTAAATTCAATTCACAGCAGCTATTTTTAGGTTGTTTTTTTTTTCTCATAAGAAAAAACCTTAATTCTCCCACTCCCTCTTCCCCTGAACTCCTTTTCCTACACTTCCCTCCAAGTAATTTTTTCTCAATAAGATTACAGTTTCTCAAAAAAACCAAAATTCCCAATGAAAAGCTTTTCCCTGCATTCCTTTCATTTCAATCCATTATTTTTGGGATTGTTCTTGGGCTCATTCTCAAAGCCATAAACAATGTAATTGTTATATATTCTATACCACAAATAATAAGATATGAATACAAAATCTAAAAGCTAAACTTTGTCTATAAATATTCTCCCTGTGTATATAAATGGAAGAAGAAAGAAAAGTTTGGGTGTTTGATATTTAAATTAATGCAAAGAGATTCATGACCCACATACACACATTTTTAAAAAATTCCTTCCTCCTCAGTGGTTCATTCATTAAGTTCCTGTGTGGTTTTTTTCCCTTTTATCACTGTGGGTGTCACACCAGTTTGGGAATCACCAAATTTAGAGTTTACTTTGAGTGCTCGTAAAACCCAGAGAAAAACTTTCAAACTATTTCTTAACGAGGAAAGAGTTAAGGAAGAAGTTAAGGAAAGAGTTAATAAAAACTTATTATCCCCCCTCCAATTTATATAAGATTTGTCTGGGATATATTTAAATGTGGGAAACTTGGAAGAAAGCTGAAGAATATCAGCTGGGTGCTGTGTCCAGCTGTGGAATGTCTTCCTGGTGGTGAGAGCTTCTGCTGGGGTTTGCAGGTAGAAAATTTCCTTTGCAGCTCCCTGGAGTTGGGACCAAAACGCTCATTGTTCACTGTCAAACCTGTGCTGAGCCCTGCAGGGATTTTCTTGGAGTCCCAGGATCATCGAGGCTGGAAAATCCCTCCAGGATCATCCAAGCTGTGCCCACCTTGTCCCCAGCCCAGAGCACTGAGTGCCACCTCCAGGTGTTGCCTTTTTCCCAGCCTGGAAATGAAACTCGGGATAATTTGAGGAAGGAGCTAATAGAAAAGTGGATCTTTATTTAAAGACTTTCAGGGGAATTTCTGGAAGGATATCCACAAAAAGACATTTTGTACATTTTCATAGGTTTTGGGAAATTAGCATAATTGATAAAAAGCACCCATTAGTCCATCAAGGGAATCAACTTCACCTCTGACTGTAACAAATCCCTCAGCAACTCCGTGACAGGAGGTTGGCAACAAGGGACAGGACAAGGGAACAGCCTCAGGGGGGACAGCAGCAGGAATTTCCCCATGGAAAGGGAGGTTTGCAGTGCCCATCCCTGGAGGTGTCCAGGGAATTCCTGGAGGTGGCACTCAGGGCTCTGGGTGGGGACATGGTGGGGACAGCTGGGGCTCCATGGGTTGGAATGACTTTTCCAACCTCAGTAATTCTGGGATTCTGCAGAGCAGAAAACAAGTACGGCTAAAGCACCAACCCTGACCGTTCAGCATCCACCACTCGAGGGCTGGAGTGATGAAGAACCTTCCTCAGTGGTACAAGTCATCTGTGCCAAAATATCTGTGAGTAGGCACAGACACCTCCACCCTTCCCTTTCCATCGATCTCATTCCTTGGGTTGCATGCTCATGAGCACATCTCTGTCCACAGCTCCTGACTCACAAGTTATCAGAACTGGAGGGCAGAGTTTTCCAAGGACTGCTGGTGAGTGTGGAGCCCCAGACCATTTTTCCATCCCCTCATCTTTCCCCCTTTCTCCTCTCCCACTCATCCACGAGGAGCAGCTGCAGGATTCACTTGCAGCCAGAAGGGAAGACAGGCAGACAGCTGTCACGCTGTGAGCCAGACCTTAAACTGTGCTTTGGAGGGGAACTTTTGAGCTTGGTTTCCCACTTGCAGAACAAAGAGCAGCTGCTTTTGACACTTGCAGCTTTGTGCTGATGCTGGAGTTTGATTTGCAATTACAGATCCCACGTAGGGAAACTGGATTCAAACAACCAGTGCAAAACATTCTCTCCGGACTTCTTTTCATTGATCTTTTCACTGGGAAAATAAACCCGCTGGGAAAATGAATCCATGATGAAAATAAACCCAAATTCTCTATAAAATGACAGAACGCTTAAATGAGGGTGACAGGGGTGTGTGGGATCTCTTGGAGGAGGGAATGTTTAAATGAGGGTGAGAAGGAGTGTGTGGGATCTCAGAGGAGGGAATGTTTAAATGAAGATGAGAGGGGTGTGTGGGATCTCTCAGACAAGGGAATGTTTAAATGAGGGTGAGAAGGAGTGTGTGGGATCTCTTGGATGCTGTAAGTGGTGTGACTGGAAACACTCACAGCAGATAGGCTGGCTCCTGGTTTTATTGTACGGAATCTGAAGGCAGCGAGTGCTGAGGAGGGAGCAGAGCTTGGCTCTGTGTCCGTGTGTGCTACAGCAGCGAGGGATGGGATGGAATTTTGGCCAGGCTGGGAATGAGCAGAGCCAGCCGTGAGTCACATGGGCCGCTGCAGACACCACAGCAGTTGGGTAAGAAGTGCAGCAGCACAATTGGAGCAGCCCCGCTGACCTCACAGCTGAGCACTCTATTTAAGATCTGGCTCCCAGATGTTGCGGGAGGATCGAGCCAGCTGCAGAGCCAGCCTGGAGTGGGAGAGCCGGGAATATTCCCAGCCCCTCGCTGCCCCGGAGATGATTGCGCTGCTCTTCTTCTCTGCCCTGCTGTGGGACGAGGCTGGAGCCTGGGGCTTCAAGGATGGAGTGCTGCACAACTCCATCTGGTTAGGTAAGAAATCTCTTCCTTATCACCAATGGTTTGCTGCAGGGGAAGGATGAGCTCCCAGCACCGCAGAGCGGAGCTGTGCGTTGGTATCGACCAAATTCTGCGCTGAAATTTATTGAAATCGCTTTACCTGAGTAGTGACTGTCCCTTTTTACAAGCTTCCTATTTGTGCAGTTTCACTGAGCTGCAGGGAAAGGTAATTATAGAACATTTCATCTGAATGTCTTTTCCTGCAGCAGGAGGTAAAGTGAAAATTGCGTTCATCAAATAACAGTGGCTTTGTTTTGAGGGAAAACGAGCCTGGAAAGAAACATTTGCCAAAGGAATGAATTACTTTCTGCATCAGCATACTTCCCATGCCTGGGGTCCTGCATGTGGAACTAAATGATCTGGAAATAATAGTGATAACATTTCCTGGCTTTCTGGAAAAGTGCAGAAATGGGGATGTTTGGGCCATTGGCTTGTTCACATCATTTAGCAGCACGGAGAAGATTTCAAATGGGCAAGACAAAAATGCTGTGGGAATTGGTTCTTGTACCTCAAGTGGGTTTCAAGAGCTCTGAGGGTTCTTTTATAGCTCGTTATAATTATCCAATGCAACAGAGAACTGACTCAGGGTAGAGCCTCATCGAGGATGCCAAAATCAAGGCACGCACGGAGTGCTCTGCTTTCCAAATACTTACAAATCCTTTATCCCCCGTAGAATGCCGTGTATTTCCCTGAGGATTTTCAGGAATCCCTGGAGCTGCCTGTGCTCAGGTGTCTCATGAGCCACCACGTGGCTCCAGCCCCTCTCAGAGGAGCCTGCAAAGCACCAGGAATACAAACGAGGCACCGAAATTAACTTTTCCATTTGGCTGCACATTTTTAATGACTTCTCCTTCCCCCCCAAACCTCGGGCCGTGCCTGTTGTGCCTCACAATTCCTGAGGGTGCTCAGGTGGGGAGAGCCCCAAGAAGGAGGCTCCAGGCTCCACCTCAGCCGTTCAAAAATTTGGGATAACAGCGATCATTTGAGCAATTTCATGAACTGAAGTCAAATGGAAGAAAAATCTTTTCAATGCTTTAAAATGGAACAACTGTGTGCTAATTGGAATGCATCATAAAATTCTGTTTGGCTACACCTCTAAGCATTTACCAGGAGAGTAAATAAAAATAAACCAGGGGGTAAAAAACCTGATGGCTTTCTCTAAATAAACAAACCAAAATAGAAGTGCACCATCTTGTGCAAGTACAGCAGTAACATTATTGAAATGAACCTCAGAGTGCAGTTAATTGAATTACCAATGGAATTCAGTCACTCTGTATATAAATGAAGATAAAACTGGCAAATTCTCAGCCATCCAGTCCATGCTTCTTTGCATTTAAAAATAACTTGAATAGTAAAAGAAGTCACCCCAATCTCAGCCTCACCGTGCTCGAGCATCAGTGGAATAAAACCTGGAGATGCACAATGACATCTGAGCTTTGCTTTTCTCCTCTTCTGATAAAGAACCAAACCCAAAATCCAGGAAAATTTCCATTTCACCTTGTCCCTCCACAAACCCTTGGCATATATAGATATAAAATCTGGAATTGCTGCCACTCTGGAAACTCTCCTGCCTTTTACCTTTTTCCTTGTCACAAAACCCCTCGTGCTCCTCAGCCAGTGCTGCTGCAGGTGCCTCTGTCACCTCCTTGGGAATTCATTCCTGGTGCCAATGGAATTTCAGTGATTCCTGGTGCCAATGGAATTTCAGTGCTGCCCAGTTTTGCCACCAGCACGTTGTGACCAGGGATTTATTGCCAGCTGAGGTGGGGGTCAGCGCAGTTGTGCTCAGGTTTGTTCCTAGGCTTGTTCCAGTGCCAGTTCTCAGTGCCATGGGGTTTTCCAGGACAGCTGCTGCACTCTTTTCACAATTCCAATTCCTTTCCCATTCCCATGCCTGTGTCTGGGGGGTTCAGGGGCTACACCAACCCCGTTTGGTGAAGTTCTCTGAGCAGCAGAGGCCCCTGCCTGGAGCTCTACGTGGCCACCCTCTGCTTAAAAGTGAAATATTCCTCTTTATTTGCCATTTAGCATTGGTTTCATGCACATTGCAGGTATTTTATTGGCCAAATTTCACGCTGCCTGTGTTTGTGCAGCAGAGGTTGGCTGCATTTCCCCACCTCCCGCTGCTGTGGGTGAGCTGAGGGTCACTGTCCTTGCAGGATCCTGCTGTCTCCGGGCTCCAAGGAGTGTTTTGGGAAGTGGGAGTTGGAACAAACACGGACTGCCAGCCGTGGAACCAAACCATGGCCCTGTGGCACGTGCTTGTGCTCACCAGAAAAATCAACATTTCCTGCAGGTTTATCCACAGGGCCACGAGCTCACCACCGTGAACAGCAATTTGTGCACGTTTTCCTGTGAATATGTGTAGGGAAGTATATCCAGAGACATAAATATGTAAATGAGGAGCTAACCCTGCTCTGATCTAGGTCTGGGTTTGATCAGGAGTTTATCTGCCCACACAGCCCCACCTGGAATTAAGGAGAGATGGGGGGGAAAAATTTTCCAGTTCAAGCTCCCATCAGTTAATTAGGATTTTCTGTGTCATTAACAGGGACACCCAGAGGCAGCAGCAGCTCTCAGAGCTGGGGGGAGGACGTGTGTGTGGTCTGTTTTCCCAAAGGCTCTTTATTCACGTTGCAGAGGAATAAAAGAGATGAAAGCTGGTTGCTCCTCACAGGGTGGTGCTGCTGCTGGTCTCAGCCTGGCAGACTCTCTGAAGGGCTGATCTTGCCAGCAATATTCTGGAAAATCCAGTGACATTCCAGCAATAAGTGGGGGGAGATACCTTTAGAGGGATAAGGTCTGAAAATGATATTGCCAGTGAAAAAAACCCAATAATAGTGAGTTTGTAGTGGCAGCTCTGAGAGCTCAAGGAATACCATCAGTGGTTTCCAATCACCTTCCAGCTCCCTTCCCTGGGCTCTGCAGGGATCAATAATGTGGATTCTAGGCTGTTCCCAGAGCAGCCAGGCTCAGTTCCTGAAGGATTCAGGGCTCTACCAGCCCTGCATTCCCAATCCAACCCAACATTCCCAACTCCACACACACAGCGAGCTGATTGATCCTGATTTCCCATGAGCTTAGCCATGACAGATTATTGAGTGACTGCAAAGTAATACTTCCTATGAATAAACTCTTAATTAAAAAGGAGTTTTTGTACCAGAACATGCCATGATCCCCCAGCTGTGGGATGTTGTGGCTAATGGAACTGGCTCCTTCAGGAAGATTTTTCTGTGGAAGAGCTGTTATCCTGTGCCCATGCCAGTGATATTCCCAGGCTTGCTGCAGAAAGAGGCTCTCCCTCTCCTGAGGCTGTTGTCAGCAATATAATTTATTTCTCTGGGCACAAGGCCAGCAACTGCAGGTCCAAAAATCACCCTGGCAAACGTCATCCCGTGTCTATTAAGGGCTCTCATCATTCCTAACCACAATTCCGTGGCTTTTTATATAAACCTCCCCTAACCCTGGCTCCAAGCGTATCCCTAGAAAATACATCCTTTATTTTTATGCTACAAATAACTACTGTAAAAATGCTGCCTGCTTTCCATCTTTTCTCAGTCACGTTGGCTGGGCAGAGCTGCAAACAGCCATTCCTCTCAGATTATGCTAAATATAAGTGAGACCTAAACAAAAAGCCCCTTCAGATTAGATATGCAGATTGCTGCTGAGACAGATTTCCATGCATATGGCACCAGACAAGTGCAACATGCAAAGATTATAAAATTTGCAGCAGCACCGGCAGTTTCTAGGTTTCCTTGGAAAGCTGTTTTATCTCAGACTTGCCACAGCAAAGTAAAAAAAATAACGAAGAAAGTGCTTTAATTTTCTGTGCAGCAGAAATGTCAGCCAGCAATTGTTCTGGTCCTGCCCTTTGTGACACACGCGCAGATATTTTTTATTTGACATTTTTCCCCCCTTTAATTTCTGCCTCTCCTCTATCCAAGTAGCTGTGATTTCACCTCTCTGGAGGTTCAAAACAAAGCTCTGATTCATCTTCCAAAGGCTCTGGGAGTTCCAGCCAAAAGGCTGCTGTGATGGGGATGCAGAAGGAGCTTTCCCTGAGTCAGATGGGACACACAGAGCTTGGGATGCTGACCCCACATGGTTCCCATGTCTGCTGTCCCCGGAGCCATCCCGGGGGAGCCTTCCCAGCTTTTGTTCCTCTTCTGTTGTTCACAAACTCTCCAAGCACCAATTTGCTCTGTTCTGAGCTTCTCCTGCACCAAATGCTACCTTTGGCTGTCACACACATCCCTTAGGGTCACACACATCCCTTAGGGTCACACACATCCCTTAGGGTCACACACATCCCTTAGGGTGTCACACACATCCCTTAGGGTCACACACATCCCTTAGGGTCACACACATCCCTTAGGGTCACACACAGCCCTTAGGGTCACACACATCCCCTAGGGTGTCACACACTTCCATTAGGGTCACACACATCCCTTAGGGTCACACACATCCCTTAGGGTCACACACATCCCTTAGGGTGTCACACACATCCCTTAGGGTCACACACTCCCTTAGGGTCACACACATCCCTTAGGGTGTCACACACATCCCTTAGGGTCACACACATCCCTTAGGGTGTCACACACATCCCTTAGGGTCACACACATCCCTTAGGGTGTCACACACATCCCTTAGGGTCACACATCCCTTTGGCTCAGGCAGGATGAGCTGTCCTGCCTCTTCCTGCGTGGCTCAGCTGAAGGTTTCACATGGGCGAGGATCAGCCCGACGTGCAGGGCTGGGGGAGCTGCTGGAGCAGGTGAGAGTTGATCCCTGAGCTTTGTCCCCGTTTGTCCCCGCAGAGCGAGCAGCCGGCGTGTATCACCGCGAGGCGCGCTCCGGCAAGTACCGCCTCACCTATGCCGAGGCCAAGGCCGTGTGCGAGTACGAGGGAGGACACCTGGCCACGTACCAGCAGCTGGAGGCGGCTCGGAAAATAGGTCTGGAAAAAGTCAGGACCCTTTGGTCCTCACGGGGCTCCTTCTGAGGGTGGCTGGTCGTGTGTTGTCATGTGTGGTTTGAGCTCCAGGCCTCAGAGATTTGGAAACTCCAAGGATTTTTGTCTATTTGGTAACTGAGCATGAGTGCCAGGGTGTCCTCACCCTCCCAGCCAGGAATTCCCAATTCCAACATCCCACCCAGCCCTGCCCTCTGGCACTGGGAGCCATTCCCTGGCTCCTGTCCCTCCATCCCTTGTCCCCAGTCCCTCTCCAGCTCTCCTGGAGCCCCTTCAGGCCCTGCAAGGGGCTCGGAGCTCTCCCTGGATCCTTCCCTTCTCCAGGGGAACATTCCCAGCTCTCCCTGGATCCTTCCCTTCTCCAGGGGAACATTCCCAGCTCTCCCTGGATCCTTCCCTTCTCCAGGGGAATATTCCCAGCTCTCCCTGGATCTTTCCCTTCTCCAGGGGAACATTCCCAGCTCTCCCTGGATCCTCCCCTTCTCCAAGAGAACATTCCCAGCTCTCCCTGGATCCTTCCCTTCTCCAGGAGAACATTCCCAGCTCTCCCAACCTGGCTCCAGAGGGCTCCAGAGCATCTCCCTGAGTTCCTCTGGACTCGCTCCAACCACTCAGCATCTTTTGTTTCCATCAAGATATTTTCTCTGCAAGGGAATGAGTTCTGTGCTTCGAGTGAAAAGTGGAGCTTAGTGAGGGGTCCCCTGTATTTCCCTGTATTTCCAGCTGATTCCTAATAATAAGTTTCTCATTCATTCAGAACCCTGGGAAAACAATGGAAAATATCCTGTACTCCAGACATTTTTTCACTCTGCTGTTGAGTCAGAAGCTGGCTCCCAGCACCAGCACATGTGAAAAGGGTACTTTTGTTTCTTCTGAGGAGCTCAGAGCCCTAAAATGCCACAAATATGTTCCAGTTCCTCTCCATAAAAACATTGGATGGGTTTTTACCAGAGGGTGAACAACATTGCATTTTTTGGCTCTTGCTGTTAAGTTCTCAGCCACAAAATGCATTAACGGGATCTTTTTGTTTGGCAAGAAATACTCGAGGCATTTCAGGTATTTACATTTAAATTGAAAGTGTTTTAAGCAAATACTTGGGGATTTTAGCTGTCTGTAGTATTTGTCTGTAGTATTTTATGTATTTTTAGAACTTAATGCTGAGAACTCTTGAGACAGGATTGAGTAAATTCATGTAACTTCAAAAGGGAAACAAGAGAACACCCTTGGAAAACTCATCCAATGGATAATTGGATTACAAGTGCTGGTAGAGCACTTGAAACCGACTGCCCGGGGAACTGTGCCGTCCATCTGCGTTTGATTTGGGGCTTCAGATGAAGAACCAGTAATCACATCACACAGAACTTAATTCAGTTTTATCCTCTGTATTTAAAATTATCCTCTCAACGTCCTGTTCTCCCTTGTAGCTCAGTTTCTATCAGGCCAACTACACCAGGTCACCGAGCCATCAGCTTGAGTAAGGCTTTGTTGAATAAGAGCAGCCCAGGACTGATGGAATCCACGTCTCATTTTCCCTCTGCTGCAGGTTTCCACGTGTGTGCTGCTGGCTGGATGGCAAAGGGCAGAGTTGGTTATCCCATAGTAAAAGCTGGAGCCAACTGTGGCTTTGGCAAGACTGGAATTGTTGACTATGGAATTCGCCTCAACAGGAGCGAGAGGTGGGACGCCTACTGCTACAACCCCAACGGTGAGGACAACAACCACGGGGGCTGTCCTCTTCTGTCGTCTTCTGTGTCCTCTTCTGTCCTCTTCTGCATTTAGCCCACGATTTAGCTGAATAATCTAAGGGGTTTCTGCCCGTATTCTGAGGTGTTCTGCCTGCAACAGGCTAAATTTAGTGATAACCTAATTTTTTGTGTCTGAGATAGGGCAGCTCTGAAAATGAATGGGACTGGCATTTTTAGGAGCTTGTCCTAGGGAATTGTTCCCTGGGAGGGAGGTGAGGCTCTGGCACAGGGTGCCCAGAGAAGCTGGGGCTGCCCCTGGATCCCTGGAAGTGCCCAAGACCAGGCTGGACATTGGGGCTGGGAGCAGCCTGGGACAGTGGGAGGTGTCCCTGCCACAGCAGGGGTGGGATGGGATAAGTTTTAATGTCCCTTTCAATCCAAACCATCCCATAATTCTGCAATGCTACAAGTGAAACTCCCACCAGCTCCCAGTAGTGCTCTGTGTGTAATCAGATGAGGAAAAGTGGATCTCCAGAGCAGATCAGAGCTCCACCACGACTGACAAGAACCTCAGCAGAGACATCTCCCCATCACCTCCACACTGCACTGCAGGCAAATGCAATACTCACATGGCCACTGCTACCACGAGGACAGGGACGCTTTGGCTCCGTGTCCCTTCACTCAGCAGGGGACACGGAAAACACCAGGAAGGGAAGCAAAGCTCATCTTGGCTCTGCTGCTGCTCCCAGTGCACAGCCCTGCCTGGCAGAGCCAGAGGCAGGCCATGACGTCTGCACAGCTGTGCACATTCTGTTTGTGCTCCCAGGGCTGGGGCTTGTTTATGTTCATCAAATAGCTCTGTGGGGTGGGGGCCGTTCCCAGATGTTCCACACACAAAGAGCTGCACAGAGACTCCTGCCATCGGAACTTCTGCATGGGACCGTGCCCTTTGTCAGCCTCTCCCCTGGGACACGGGGAGCTGCTGTCCAGTTTGGTCAGAGCTCAAAAGGAAACCAGAGCTGCCCAAACTGCACAGACATGAGTCTCCAGAGCTGCAGGGATCTGTGTTCAGTCTGAGCTGCCCAGACTACACAGACACGAGTCTCCAGAGCTGCAGGGATCTGTGTTCATCCTCTGAGCTGCACAAACTGCACAGACACGAGTCTCCAGAGCTGCAGGGATCTGTGTTCATGATCTGTGGAGCCTGGCAGGGCTGTTTGCAGGTGGGACAGGAGCAGCCTGGGGTGATGGGGACAAATCTCTGACAGAACTGAGCCTGTGCTCTGCTCCAGGAGGCCAAAGATGGCAAGAGGAACTCGTGGAACTATTTGGGTGTTTGAAGTGTTCATCCCACCTAGCAGTGAGCATGGAATGATGGAATCATGGAATGGGTTGGGTTGGAAGGGACCTTAAAGCCCACCCAGTGCCACTCTTGCCGTGGTCAGGGACACCTCCCACTATCCCAGATTGCTCCAGCCTGGCCTTGGAGACTTCCAGGGATCCAGAGGCAGCCACAGCTGCTCTGGGAATTCCAGCCCCGCCAGGAATTCCCAATTCCCAATATCCCATCCATCCCTGCCCTCTGGCACTGGGAGCCATTCCCTGGCTCCTGTCCCTCCATCCCTTGTCCCCAGTCCCTCTCCAGCTCTCCTGGAGCCCCTTCAGGCCCTGGAAAAGGCTCCAAGGTGTTTCTGAAGCCTTCCCTTCTCCAGGTGAGCATGCCCAGCTCTTCCAGCCTGGCTCCAGAGGGGTTCCAGCCCTGGAGCAGATCCATGGTCTCCTCTAGACTCTCTCCAACAGATCCAGGTCTTTCTTGCATTCCAGCCCCTGAGCTGGAGCCATTTCTCCAGGCACTGGAGCTGAGCTGGGAAGTTCTGGGCTCATGGACAATGTACAAACTCAGGGGATTGATCCATCTTAGTGCTCCTAATTCCTGTGCCCTGGATACCCTGACACAGCACCTCCCCCTCTCCAGCTCTAAACTGGGATAAATCCTAAATTCAGGCAGGAATTCCCAGTTTGATCAGCTCCACTGTCAGGGAGCTGGCAAAGTCCAAACAGCCCCTGGAAAAAAACAGGAGCGTTTTTCTGCCAAAGGGATCCCAGAGCAGCAGGAACAACGGGAGTACAACACCAGCTATGTGATCACAAGCTACTTTTTGTAGGAGACACGCTTGCAAGAGGTTTTTGAAGAAGCAAGGATGAACCTGAGTGTCAGTGGGACTTGCAAGTACAGCTGTAAATCTTGAGAGAGCCAGAAATCCCAAACACCTTTTACATAAAACACAGCTCCGGCTCCGAATCCACCGCAGGCAGTGAAAGCTTTTCCTGTGAATTCAGTGAGGTTTGGATCGTGCCTCTTGCTTCCCAAATATCTTCTTCCAAAAGCAAGGAATCACTGCCATTCACCAAGGGAACACATGAGAAGCTTCATCACTCTGTATGGATGCTAACTGTGAAGCAAGGAGCACAGTGCCTGTTGAAATTGCAGGCCACATAACTTTCTCAGTCTCGCCTGGGAAAGTGGCCTGGGAATTCATAAGGAGGAATTAAAACAATCCTCAGAGATAGAGAACAGCCTTGCAGGTTTTGTTTGTCTGTTCCTTGGTTTCTTGCAAGAGAAGGTCGAGGGGTGGTTAACCCCACTGACCAATGATGGTGATGTGTTTGTTTACTAACCAATACGAGTTTTCTTTTCCATACTTTTCACTCTATAAAAAAGTCTATAAAAAAGACCTGAAGTTATAAACGAGGAGAAATTCTCCAGTTCGACTCCATGAGAGAGTCTGTGTCATTCTTCTCACCCTTCCCAACGGAGCGACAACTCTGGATGTTCCTGTGTGCCTTCCTACTCATCTCCAGCCAGAGCGCCTGAAGCTTCAAATGAAAAGTTAAACAAACTGCTTTTATTTCTCTGGTAGGAAAGGAGTGTGGTGGAGTCTTCACGGATTCCAAGCACGTTTTCAAGTCCCCGGGCTACCCGAACGAGTACGAGAACGATCAGGTTTGCTACTGGCACATCCGTGTGAGGTACGGGCAGCGGATCCAGCTGCAGTTCCTGGAGTTCGATGTGGAGGATGACACCGCCTGCCTGGCTGATTTCCTGGAAATCTACGACAGCTACGATGATATCAATGGATTTGTGGGCAGGTAAAGCACATTTAATATGCAAATTTGATATGCAAATCGATATGCAAATTCGTGTTTCATTTGTTCCCCCCCAGAAGAATGATGTTTAGAAATTATAAAATATACTTACATGAATAAAAGCATTTTTAGAATTCTGTAAAAATCTGATGGATTCATTGCTGCCACAGACTTAAAAAAAAAAATCAATATTTTTTTAGATATTTTTATAAATTATTTTTCTTTACAATTTTTTTCTTTTTCAAATTTTTAACTTTTATAATTTTTTTAAATTATTTTTATAAATTATTCTTCTCCTCGTTTCACGCACCGTTTGAACAAACTTTTTTGTTCCAATTATTTGGAAATTTAACAGGCTCTTCTCTCCTTATTTTCCTTGATTTCCCCCCTCAGAAGAACTTTATGCAACTGAGGTTCCCCCTAATTCCTGTAGCAATATTCTCTGATTAATTATTTCTGGTAAATTTAATGTCATTCTGGTAAATTTACTTTAATGTCATTAACACAGACCTGGGAGGAGGAGTTTCAGAGAAATGAGCTTTGCCTTTTTCTTTGTTAAAATGAGATGAAAGGAAGCTGTGAGACTTTTTAGTTATCTGTTTATCCCAATTCTCCAGGAAGAACCCCTGGCAGTCTCAAACATTTGTATTTTGTGTTTCCTTTAATTGAGAGGGGTTAAACTGTTAGCAAAAATGTATTTCATTAAAGTTGCTATCTGCTAAAGTTATTTTCTAACAATATCAGAACAAAGGTTTTATTTCATCTTTCTAATTATTAATTCTCACTTTCTTCGGTGTTGCAGTTTTACTTACCCTTTATCAGCCCTATTTTGGTATGAAGTAATAAATGGAATTATTTGGAAATTGGAATATGGAATTATTCCATAATTTGGAATGAAAATTAAGGTAATATTTTCCAGAACAAAAAAAAATAAAGAAAGAAAAAAAACTGATAAAAAACCCAATTCCTGCCACTTTTCACACCCTCTCCGCAAATCATGTGCAGCAAATAAAGGATTCAGTCAAATTTCTGCTTTTACAGATAATTCAAATGGATTTTTTCTTTTGCAATGTTGTTCCTCTCTTAGCCTTGGCTCACTTTTCCTTAAACCCTTGTGAAATTGCTTTTTTCCCCTTGTTTTGCATCATTTACATCCTGCAGATATTGAAAACTGCTTCCTCTCCTCAATCAATGGGATGATGACAAAAAATTCTCTTGGCAATTGCTTGAACACAGAATTTTTATCCATAATAAGAAGATTTAAAATCAAATTTATCCCCTTGAGGCCTATGGAGCAGAGAGATGTCCTTTAATCATCAACATTTCATTTTTTTCCAGGTTTTGTGGAGATGAGTTGCCAGATGACATCATCAGCACAGGTAATTTATTTGCACTATTTGTGGCAGATCAAAAAGCCAATTAATTACTTCTAAATAAATGTAAATCAGCCTAATTAGAGAGGCTGAATAACAGAGAGAAGTGTTCCCTGAAAAAAATTTAAAATCCCAAAATTATGTCTGGGAAAAAACCTTAAAACCCAAAATATATCTGAAAAAACTTAAGAACCCAAAAATATATCTGAAAAAAACCCTTAAAGCTCAAAAAAATATATCTGAAAAAAGTTAATACCCCAAAAATATATCTGAAAAAAGCCTTAAAACTCAAAAATATATCTGAAAAAACTTAAGAATCAAAAAATATATCTGGAAAAAACCCTTAAAGCTCAAAAAAATACATAAAAAACCTTAAGAACCCCAAAATATTAATGTTAATATTATTAATAATGTTAAACCCCTCAAAAATATAACTGAATAAACCTTAAAGCTCAAAAAAATATATCTGAAAAAGTTAATACCCCAAATATATATCTGAAAAAATCCTTAAAACCCAAAATATATCTGGAAAAAACTTAAAACTCCAAAATATATCTGAAAAAAGTTAATACCCCAAAAATATATCTGGAAAAAACCTTAAAGCTCAAAAAAAATCTGAAAAAACTTAAGAACCCAAAAATATATTTAGATAAAGACCTTAAAACCAAGGATATATCTGGAAAAAAACTTTAAAACCCAAAAAAATATATCTGAAAAAACCTTAAAACCCAAAATATATCTGGAAAAAAATATACCTGAAAAAAGTTAATACCCCAAAAATATATCTGAAAAAAGTTAATACCCCAAAAATATATCTGAAAAAAACCTTAAAACCCAAAATATATCTGGAAAAAACCCCTTAAAACCCAAAATATATCTGGAAAAAAACATTTAAAACCCCCAAAATACATCCAAAATCCCACATTTTGATGCCAGTTAAAGCCATAATTTTATTTTTTCTTTTCCTTGGCACAGGGAATGTGATGACACTGAAGTTTCTGACGGATGCCTCGGTGACAGCTGGAGGGTTCCAGATCAGATACACAACCCTGGACGCGCCTCCCAAGGCAGGGGATGGCAGGAACGCCACATCCCAAGGGAAAACCAACTTTTTAACAGGAAAATTTGGGATTATGTGAGCGGAGTAAGCAGCCACAGAAAGGTGTTTTAGACTGAATTCAATTCAGATATTTGTGTCTTCAGATAAGACATTTTTGTCGTCTCTTTCTGAGTTTTTCTCTTTGGCTTTTCTATGTTTTGTTAATAAACTACACTAGGGAATAAATTATAAAATATACTTACATGGATAATAGAAACCTATTTTTAGAATAGAAGTACTGTAAAAATATGAATTCTTTGCTACCAAAGACTTAAAAAAATATTTTTCTATATAAAATGCTCTTTCTCCTCATTTCTTGCACCACTTGAACAAATTTTTGTGTGACTGTTCCCATTATTTTTAAACTTAACAGCCTCTTCTCTCCTTATTTCCCTTGATTTCCACATATTTATTTTTTAGACTGTTGCTTTTTTTTTCCCTGTTCTCTACACATTATTATAATTTTATTTTTTTTTTTTACAACTGATTTTCTTAAACTCTAAGGGCCTTCAGTGCGAGCTTATTTTTAAGACACCAAAATTCATTTTGTGGATGGCCTGGTGGTTGCCCAGGTGAAGATTGGGAAGAGCACAGGATCATTTGGACCCACACTTTAATTTTCTCATCAGATTGATGGATTCTGTCAGGGTTCCCTCATCCAGAGAATTGCTCTTGAAGTCTTTTCACTTCAGTTAGTAAAGAATTAAAGGAATGACTTGGTGATGAGAATAAAAGCGTTGAGATGAAGCAGCAGGAGGAACTTCTCACCGAGCACGTTCAGAAGGCACCAGCAAGGTGTTGAATGTTGTTTACACGGGTTTAAGACTGTTCTGGTTTAAACTGTTAAATTTAAATCCTTCTCTGTGTGTTTTTAATTGAAGCAGCATTAAAGCTACCTCTGTTCTAATCACACCAGACTTGCAGAGAGTTATTTTTGTTTCTTGACAGCATTCCAGTCTTGTTTTATTCGTGTAAAGGAGTAAATAAGTTTGGTTTCTGAGTGTTTTCTTGAGTCCAGATCTGCTGAAATTTACTGCTCACTAAGAATTTTCCTGTGAATTTTGTCTGGAGCATCTGTGTTCCTCATCATCTGAATTCATCAGGAATGGTTTTGCACAAGGAAGATCTTAAGCTAATCAGCCCCATTTTTGCTTTGTTTTTTCTAATCCTCGATTGTTGAAATTCATTTAATTTTTAAGTTTTTATTGTAATTTCACCGGGAATATAATCCTGTTTTCTGGCTGTACTGGAGAGCAACACTGCAGCTCCTCTCCTGGTTATTTCCAACATTTTATTCGTGCCCCACGAAACAAGTTTTGTATCACTGCATTTACAGGGATTTAACTGTATCTAAAATGTGCTTTTTAATCCTGCCACCTTGTGTTCACAGTGCCTGTTGTACAACAGCATTCCCATTTCCCAAGATCAGCAACACCGCGTGTTCAGAGGGAAGAGAATAAGGAAAAGCATGAGAATGTTAGTGTTTTATTTATGACCTCGGGGTGGTTTTGTTGTTATTGTTGCTTTTAAGTGGGAAGCGACAGGTATCGCACTGATATGGATGAGAACCAGGGAATAGCTGGGATCCCCATGGGGTATTTTTTGGGGAAGAGACCCTTCCCAGGACAGCCACTCCCGCTGGGAATCCCTGGAGGTGACAGAGGCTCAGCCACGGCCGTGACTGCTCCGGCCTGGTCTATCCCGGAGATCCAGGGCTTCCCAAAACTTTGGATTCGCTGCCAGAACCGGGATTATTCCTATTTCACCTCTGCTGGGACATCCCATACGGGGGGCTCAGGGAATTCCGGTTTAAGCCGGCAAACTCCTATGGAGCTGGAGGTTTATTTCCAGTCATTAATTAGGGGTTTGACCTCACGTGAGCTGACCCACAGCTTCCTCCCGAGGGGCAGCTCCGATCTCGGCTCTGCGTGACCAGGGAACGGCTGGAGCTGCGTCAGGGCACGTTCAGGTCGGAAATTAGGGAAAGGTTCGTCCAGCAGAGGGTGGCGTGGCACTGACCAGGCTCGCCATGGAATGGTCACGGCCCCAAGGCCGCCAGAGCTCCAGGAGCGTTTGGACTCCGCTCTGGGGAATGCCCAGAATGGGATTGTTGCCCAGGGCCAGGAGCCGGACACGGACGATGCTTTTCCGCCGCTTTTCCCAGGATTTGCGGGTCCAGGGGCCGGCTCGGACCGAGCGCCCTCAGCGCCCC